ATGAGCTGGCATTGAGTGTCTGTGACTTTTCCAGGTAGATCTACCATTCTGGAGTCTGGAAGACAGTAAGACAGTGGCCCTCCTTTCACAGCTCCACTAGGCCATGCCCTAGGAGGGACTCTGTGGGGGGGCTCCGACCCCACATTTCCTTTCTACACTGCCCTAGCAGAGGTTCTCCATGAGAGCCTTGCCCCTGCAGCAAACTTCTGCCTGGGCACCCAGGTATTTCCATACATCTGAAATCGAGGCAGAGGTTCCAAAACGCCAGTTCTTGATTTCTGTGCACTCACAGGCTTAACACCATGTGGAGGCTGCCAAGGCTTGGGGCTTGCACCCTCTGAAGCCATGGCCCAAGCTTTGTGTTGGCCCCTTTCAGCCACAGCTGGAGCACCTGGGACACAGGGCACCAGGTCCCTAGGCTGGATACAGTGTGAGGCCTTTGGGCCTGGCCCATGAAACCTTTTTTTCTTCCTAGGCTTCTAGGCCTATGATGGGAGGGGCTGCCCTGAAGACGTCTGACATGTCCTGGAGACATTTTCCCCATAGTCTTGGGGGTTAACATGCTTCTCGTTACTTATGCAGATTTCTGCATCCAGCTTGAATTTCTCCTCAGAAAATGGGTTTTTCTTTTCTATTACGTTGTCAGGCAAATTTTCCAAACTCTTATGCTCTGCTTCTTTTATAAAATGGAATGCCTTTAACAGCACCCAAGTCACCTCTTAAATGCTTTGCTGCTTAGAAATTTCTTCCGCCGGATACCCTAAATCATCTCTCTCTAGGTGAGAGTTCCACAGGTCTCTAGGGCAAAGGCAAAATGCTGCCAGTCTCTTTGCTAAAACATAACAAGTATCACCTTTGCTCCAGTTCCCAACAAGTTCCTCATCTGCATCTGCAACCACCTCAGCTTGTACCTTATTGTCCATATCATTATCAGGCTCTTGGTCAAAGCCATTCAACAAATATCTAGGAAGTTCCAAACTTTCCCACATTTTCCTGTCTTCTGAGCCCTCCAAACTGTTTCAACCTCTGCCTATTACCCAGTTCAAAAGTGGCTTCCATATTTTTTGGGTATCTTTTTAGCAACGCCCCACTCTACTGGTTGGTACCAATTTACTGTATTAGTCCGTTTTCATGCTGCTGTTAAAGACATCCCTGGGACTGGGCAATTTACAAATGAAAGAGGTTTAATTGGACTTAGAGTTCCACGTGACTAGGGAAGCCTTGTAATCATGGTGAAAGGCAAGGAGGAGCAAGTCACTTAAGGGGATGCTGGCTGGCAAAGAGAGGAGAGCTTGTGCTGGGAAACTCCCTTTTTATCACTATCAGATCTCATGAGACTTATTCACTATCATGAGAACAGCACGGGGAAAACCTGCCCGTGTGATTCAGTTACCTCCCACCAGATCCCTCCCACAACACAGGGGAATTCAAGATGAGATTTGGGTGGGGACATAGCCAAACCATATCACAAGGCAAGAGGATCACTTGAGGCCAAGATTTCAAGACCAGCCAAGATTTTGAGACCAATCTAGCAAGACCCCATCTCTACAAAATGATTTTTAAAATTAGCTGGGCATGGTGGCACGGTGCCTGTAGTCCCAGCTGCCCAAGACCATTTGATCCCAGGAGTTCAGTGAGCTACAACTGTGCCACTACACTCCAGCCTGGGTTACAGAGTGAATCTCTGTTTCAAAAACAGACAAAAATTTTAGAAAAGAAAAGAAACGAAAGTGGGGATGAGTGGAATTGCAAGAAACTGGAATGTCCAGGGAAAGGGGTGTGTGGGTGTGTGTATGTGTGGGTGGACATTCTTGCACACGAGAGTGTGAGGTATGGTTGCATTTGGAGTGGTGTAGAAGGCATGGCTGGATCCAGCAGCTCAGATGCTGCCATTTGGTAGCCACTGGGGTGGCTCTCTGACCTCTCCAGTCTAGGTGCTGGATCCTGGGTCTGGGTCTCTTCTCCTGTGGATGACTTCTCCTCATGATCAGGAGGCCTGCCTATGTGCAGCTTAGAGTTTATCATCTTTATATTACCTTGATTACACTGAAAGCCAAAGCCTCTTTCTAAGAAGCTTCAGCAAAAAGCCAGAAATTCTGATTTACCAGGTTTTAGCCCTGGTACCCATCTCTGGGACTGGGGGTACAGTCAGTCTCATCTGAGGCAGTTAAGGAATGGTAGGCAGCCACTGCGGGTCTGCTTTATGGTTGCCAGAATTAACAGGTGTGAGGTCAGGGTGTCATCCTGAGCCACTAAGTTACCTTAGAAAGAAGTAGCATGGGCCAGGTGCACTGGCTTATGCCTGTCATCTCAGCACCTTGGGAAGCCAAGGTTGGAGAATTAAGCTTGAGTCTGAGAGTTTGAGACCAGCCTGAGCCACATAGCGAGACCCCACCTCTACAAAAAATAAAACCAGCTGGCTGTGTCATGGTGTGCATCTGTGGTCCCAGCTACTCATGAGGCTGAGGTGGGAGGATCGCATTAGCTCAGAAGGTTGAGGCCGCAGAGAGCTGTGATCATGCCACTGCACTCCAGCCTGGGCAGCAACAAAAAAGAGAGAAGGAAGGAAGGGGAAGGAAGGGAATGAAAGAAGGAAGAAAGAAGGAAAAGGAAGGAAGGAAAGAGAGATGGAAGGAAAGGAAAGAAGTTTCACATTCCAGCACTACTCCTCAACAGCATGTGGGCTTGGTGCTACCATTCTCTGCAGAAACATATGGGACTCATAGTTCTTCTAAGTTACCAGCACCCATAACTTTATTTTATTTTTATGGAGAGTAATGTGATTTCAGGTTCAGCAACTTTTCTTTGAGCTGGAGTTCGGTCTGGGCCTGCCCCCAAGATGGGCTGGGAGGAGAAGGCAGTCAGTCAACCCCTGCTCAGAACCCACACTTCCCCATCACCTCTTTGCTTACGTGGATACTTCCTTTTTTCCTTCTCAAAGTAAATGATAATGGGTGGAGAAAGCAAGATATAGCTTTAATCCAGTGTTCTTTTTTTTTTTTTTTAACCCTGACTCAAATTAAGGTATAAGATTTCCATCATCTTCTGGTACACACATACCTTTGTTAACAAAATATAAGGAAACAATATTTATCTTTTACTAAATGTAATGTACTCTAAGATTTATTCTAATTTTTTTTATTTGGTTTAATTTCATCTTTAAAAATATGCACATGCTGGTCACGACTACTATAAATTCATTTCACAACCCACTAAAGGGTGGCAACCCAGAATTTGAAAACATGAATTAAACCAGTGGAAAAACAGTGGCAGTAGCATATGAGTTTGCTGGAGCTGCTGCAACTAAGTACCATGAACCAGGTTCATTGAACAGACATTGACTGCCTCACGATGCCAGAGGCCAGAAGTGGGTGTCGGTGAGTGGGTTCCTTCAGAAAGCTGAGAGGGAGAGAATCTGTTCCATGCTTCTCTCCTAGCTTCTGGTGGCTTGCTGACAATTCGTGGCAGTCCTTGGCTTGTAGACATATCACTTTAATCTCTGCCTTATCTTCATGTGGCTTTCTCCCTGTGGGCATGTCTGTGTCCAAATCGCCCGCTTTAAAACATTTTTTTTTGAGATGGAGTCTCGTTCTGTAGCCCAGGCTAGAGTGCAGTGGCATGATCTCGGCTCACTGCAACCTCTGCCTCCCATTACCCTTTTTTTAAGGATACAGTCATATAGGATTAGGGTCTCACCATATTCCGGTATGACCTCATCACAACCAATTATATCTGTGACAACCCTGTTGCCAAATAATGGTCACATTCTGGGGTAATGGGGACTAGGACTTCCACACAGGAATTTCGAATGAGGACAAAATTGAATATGTAACAAGTGATTAAAAATACAAAATTAATAGAAGGTTCCCATTTCCTGGAGGCCTTATTACATGACAGACTCTCCCCTAGACATTTTATTTGATTAACTCAGCAAAGCCTTCTTGTCCCAATTCATAGTGGCAGAAGTCAAAGGGAAGAGAGGTCTCTCAGACGGAAACTTGGGTCTCCTTGATTTCAGGCATGCTCTCTCTTGTTCTTTCTCTTGTATATGTGATTGCTGTACTCTTCATAGAGCATCAAGAAGGCACCATACGTGTTTATTGAAATGCTAAACACAGGTAGTAAATTACATTGCGATATCCTGCTGAAGTTCATTGCAATGAAGACATCTTAAAGAACTCACAGGTGCCAGTCATAGGGTCCCTACCAGAGAGGCCTGGGACTTGTGCAGTCTTAGGGAAGGGAAGCCCGTGAGCTCGTGTGTGTACTCTGGGCTCATCCCCGGCAATCAGCCGCTGCATTCCTAAGAGCGCCCAGCAACCGCCTGCGTGTCTCCCTTTGTGCTTCCCCATCCTCATTCTGAATTTAGAGCAGAACAAAGAGTAGAGAAGGAAATGAGCCAGAAAATGGAAAATTAATACTTGGTAAAATTGTCATATTTTAAAATTAATTTATAGGCAATGTCAGATAATAGGAGTTCAATCATTTTATCAGCAGGCTGCTCTAGGATTTTAAAATTGGCGTCCGTCATTGTAAATCAGGTCTCAGGAGCCCCAGGAAATGGTCTCTAGGGATGAGAGTTGATACAGGGTGGGCAGAAATGTAAATACTTGACTAGCTCTGCCCTTTTTTTTTTTTTTTTTTTTTTTTTACACAAAACCTAAAATATTTTTGTATCACATTGAGTGATTAGGGTGTGTTACATAGTAACGGGAGGGAAGAAGCTATTCAGATTTATGGTTAGCCTGCTTTTGATGCTTATCTTCCTCCCTGTCAGTCCTGGGAAACTGGTTGTGTAAGAGGTGCTCATTTTAAGGTTGTATTCCGGGCTCATTATTAAAGGGACAGGCTTAACCTTCTGCATAGACACATTTTCCCTAGCGGTTTGGCTGTCACATTTCTGCCATCCCTGTGAGCAGGAGCATCCACAGGTTTGTCACATTTGTTCTGGGAAGACTTTCTGTGATTAAAGAACTGCCTTTCATCTCTTATCATTGCAGGTCTTTGTCAAGGACGTGTGGTGAGAGTCCCCACAGGGACCCTGGTTCGAGTGGTGGGCACTGAGCTGGTCATCCCCTGCAACGTCAGTGACTATGATGGCCCCAGCGAGCAGAACTTTGACTGGAGCTTCTCATCTTTGGGGAGCGACTTTGAGGAGCTTGCAAGCACCTGGGAGGCGGGGTTCCCAACCCAGCTGTACCAGGAGCGGCTGCAGAGGGGCGAGATCCTGTTAAGGCGGACTGCCAATGATGCCGTGGAGCTCCATATCAAGAATGTCCAGCCTTCAGACCAAGGCCACTACAAATGTTCCACCCCCAGCACAGATGCCACCGTCCAGGGCAACTATGAGGACACAGTGCAGGTTAAAGGTACAGTCCTCACATGGGCTTATGATGCCAGGGGCCAGACCTTTCTCTGCCACTGGGCTGTGGGTGACTTTGTCAAGAGATTTAATTTCTCTGGGGCTGTGCTCCTTCCTCTGTCCAGCAGAATAGTCAGGTCTTACCTGATTGAAGGCAGGGGATAGGCCAGATGACCTGAGAGGGCCCTTTTCCACTCCAGTGTGGTTCTGAGCCATCCTCTGCCCAGTGAGCTGGAGGCAGCATGATGCAGTGGTGGAGAGCTGGCTCTGCAGCCAGGTTGCCTGTGCTTGTTTATAGTCCAGTTGCTGGCTCTACTACTTGTCAGCTGCATGGCTGTGGGCATGTTCCATGCCTCAGCTTCCTCTTCGGCAACCTCAAAGGTTGTAAGGACAGGCCGGGCATGGTGGCTTATGCCTGTAATCCCAGCACTTTGGGAGGCTGAGGCGGGTGGATCACCTGAGGTCAGGCTTTTAAGACCAGCCTGGCCAACATGGCGAAACCCCGTCTCTACTAAGAATACAAAAATTAGTTGGGTGTGATGGTGTGTGCCTGTAATCCCAGCTACCCAGGAGGCTGAGGCAGGAGAATCACTGGAACCTAGGAGGCAGAGGCTGCAGTGAGCCGAGATTGCGCCACTGCACTCCAGCAGTGAGCCGAGATTGCGGCACTGCACTCCAGCCTGGGTGACAGAGCAAGACTCCATATCAAAAAGAAAAAAAAAGGATGTGAGGAGGACAGGTGAGTTACCGTGTGTAAAACCTTAGAGCAGTGCCGTCATAAGCATTCATTGGTTAGTGACAGGAAGGGGGTGGTCATGTTGAGGATGCTCAGCTTTCTAGGAATAACAGACACTTCAAAGTTTACTTTGTGACTTTCATGATTTAAGTACTTGTTTGTACCGGAAGTTGTATGTGTTACATGTAGAGAAAAAACAGGTGGTCTCTGCTAGCTTATTGACCTAGCCGTGCAAATAATTACACCTTATGTACCTGGAATGTTTTAGGATTTGTTTTAGAGGTTTTCTTTGTTTGTTTCATTCTCCAAGTCCTTTTAAATTTACTCACACATTCAATTCTCTGAACCCAATCAAAATAGGGCAGAATATGTCCCTCATTTATACATGAGGAAATGGAAGAGCATAGGTTAATTACTTGCCTAAAATCACACAGCTAATTAGTAAACGAGCAAGAACAAACCATTTTAATTTGGGGCTAAGAAAATAGAAACATTATAATTGTTGTTATTGGTACTTAATTATGCATTTATTTGTACCCTGCCTTGTTCCCAAGTGGATTTATGTCTGGGTCAGAATGTATGTAATTATCAGAAAGTAGAAAATGCACATGATGATATAAAAAGACAGGGTTGATTGAGGCATTCATTCCCTCATGACTTGTAGAACCCTATCATAGCTCAGAGACTGTTCCCTCACTAGACTCATCAGGGGATAAAACTGCCATGTCCATTAAGGAGGTAACGAAACGCCCAGTCTACCTCTTCTTTATAGAAAAAGACATTCTTGCATTGGAGCTAAGTAATGCCACATGCCCACCAGGTGTGGTGGCTCACGCCTGTAATCCCAGCACTTTGGGAGGCCAAGGCAGGTGGATCATGAGGTCAAGAAGTCGAGACTATCCTGGGCAACATGGTGAAACCCCGTCTCTACTAAAAATGCAAAAATTAGCTGGGCATAGTGGTGCTCTCCTGTAGTCCCAGCTACTTGGGAGGCTGAGGCAGAAGAATCGCTTGAACTTGGAAGGCAGAGGTTGCAGTGAGCTGAGATTGCGCTACTGCACCAGCCTGGTGAAAGAGTGAGACTCTGTCTCAAATAGTAATAATAATAATAATAAATAATAATGGCACATGCCACCTTTTCATTAAGTCAGACACACCTTGTATTCCCTGGGAGTCTCCTCTTGAGTGGGAGGAAGGGCAACAGGAGAATCTTCCCACCCCAGCCCTGCTTCCTCCAGTGTCTTTCAGCCTCTTCTGTCTTTGGATGGCCGGAGACACAAGAGGAGGCCTTTCTTGGGTGAGGAAAGCAATGGATGACCATAAGAGACTGCTGTCAGGTGGAGCTTCTGATGGTTACCATGTGTGGTCCAGGGTCTGCCTGGCCTTCAGCTTCATGGGTCTTGAAGCTATTCAGCTGTGCCTGCCCCAAGAGATGAGCTGGCCTTGAGAACTGAGTCATATTAGCCAGACTCACAGACTGATATATATATACAAGAAGGTCATTATATTTATTTTGCAGTAGACTTGGGTCTTTGGGATGTGTCCTCCTAAAAATGTAGCCATTTTTTAATGTTATCTGGGATAGCCCCTTCTCAAGGACACTGAATTAATTTCTGAGTGTGGAATTGGGGGGAAAAAAATGAAGAGATGATGAACAGTGGTGTGGGAGCGTTCTCGTAGCCAGCTCATCGACAAGCCCGATAGATTTTCCCTGCTCCTTGGTAGCGGCCCCGTTTCTGGTTACAGGAGTAGCGCCATCCACTGCTTACTGCTTTTTACCTGAATAGCACCACCATACTTCCTCGATCACTGCTCCCTTTTTCTAGGCTCTGTAGAAGTGCCTGAGCCGGTTCCTACCATGTGGATATGCCGTGCTCACCCTAGTCATTCTTGGGCATTCCTCAGGCTGCAAGCCACAGGCAGCCCATGCCACCCTCTCTCCCCTGTGGATCTTGCCACTTTAAGTCTAGAAGGTCACTGTATCTGCAGACTCTGAGGGCTCCCTACCCTAGCCCTGGTCCTAACCGAAGGAATGTTTGACAGTCACAGCCAGTGATTTATCATGACTGCCAAGTGCCAGACACTGTCCTGGGAACTTGCCGTGTTTAACTTGTTTAATTCTCATGTCAACTCTGTGATGAAGGTCCAGTTGTCATCCCCCTTTTAGGAAACTGAGGCACAGAGGGGTAAAGTAACTTGCCTTAGGGGTGACAGAAGCACATCCCTTCCCCAAGGCAGGACTCCCACAGGGAGTTTTCACCACTCAGTTCTAGCATGGGGTTTTATTGGTAGATCTTACTTTGCTTTTTCAAGTCAGAAAGTCAGTTGAGATTACAGATGAATCCAAAAGGGAAACCGTCCATCAGGGCCCTGGAATGGGGGAGGGAGAAGGAAATGGTCTGTGGTTGCAGCGATGGTCAGGGCTGTGGCCAGTAGGCCCTGGAACTGACTGGCCCTTACAGGGTGCGGGGGGCGGGGGCGGTGTGGACGGGCTGCTGACCCAGCTCTCTCTCTCTGCAGTGCTGGCCGATGCCCTGCACGTGGGCCCCAGCGCGCGGCCCCCGCCGAGCCTGAGCTTGCGGGAGGGGGAGCCCTTCGAGCTGCGCTGCACCGCCGCCTCCGCCTCGCCGCTGCACACGCACCTGGCGCTGCTGTGGGAGCTGCACCGCGGCCCGGCCCGGCGGAGCGTCCTCGCCCTGACCCACGAGGGCAGATTCCACCCGGGCCTGGGGTACGAGCAGCGCTACCACAGTGGGGGCGTGCGCCTCGACACCGTGGGCAGCGACGCCTACCGCCTGTCAGTGTCCCGGGCTCTGTCCGCCGACCAGGGCTCCTACAGGTGTGTCGTCAGCGAGTGGATCGCCGAGCAGGGCAACTGGCAGGAAATCCAAGAAAAGGCCGTGGAAGTTGCCACCGTGGTAATCCAGCCGACAGGTGAGCTGGAAACGATGCGTTACAGGTGATGCTATTCTGTGACTGATGACAGTGGTGTAAAGAACTGGGCCAGGGAGCCCCATGGCCTTCTGACAAGAACTGCTTCTGCTTCCCATGTGAGGCCTTAACTTCAGGGGTGAAGGCAGTAGGGTGGTGTTGAAAGGATGGGGGGCGGGGTGCATTGGTTTTGTGCTGAGGATGCCTGTCGTTTTGCCACACAGCTGCTTTGATCTAAATTCATGTCCATGGAAAGCCGTGGCCTACAGGTAACACGAAGGCAGTTCTTTCACTTAAGAGTGCCATAGTCCCTCAGCCAGATTAGGTGGGGCTTGGTGCTCAGTGGAGCTTTGGGGTGAAGGTATTCACACTCTGCCCCCTAAGCTTTATTGCGTTTGGTGTTTCCCAAGTCCTTGGACCTGCCTTTCTGTGCAGCTGTTGGGATGTGTGTCTGGCTCATCCCAAAACCTTCCGTCTAACTTGCATGCTCTAGGCCTGCCTTTTGGTCCCGGAAGATGTATCTTTCCTGGTAGGGGGAGGAGCTCTCTAGGGCAGGGCCAGTTCTTGCTTACCTGTATCACCTGTATCATACAGACCACAGGAGCATTCAGTGCTGGGGCCTATACAAGACGCCCTTTGTCCTGGCATCTTTTTTTTTTAGACCCTCTACTGCAACTACAGAAGTAATTAAGAAAATACGAAATGCATTTTAGAAAGCACATAAAAATCAAAGGAAAACATGCTACTGATCACTCATTAAGAACCTGCTGTGTACTCAGCTCTGTTCTGGGCCATCTGTTTTTGAGGCTCATTCCCAGGCCCTGTGGAAAGACCTTCAGCAGAGACCGTGTAAAGAGACCAAGGCAGGGCAATGTCATTGCTCAGGATGAATGGGTGTCCTTGGTTTTCTGTGAGTCAGTCTTCAGGTCTCAGAGTACTTTGTTGCTGTTGCTACTGCCTTCTGTTTTGTTGTTGTTGTTGTTGTTGTTGTTTTTAGGCAGAGTCTCGCTCTGTCACCCAGGCTGGAGTGCAGTGGCATCATCTCGGCTCTCTGCAACCTCCGCCTCCTGGGTTCAAGCGATTCTCCTACCTCGGCCTCCCGAGTAGCTGGGATTACAGGTGCTTGCCACCACATCTGTCTAAGTTTTGTCTTTTTGGTAGAGATGGGGTTTCACCATGTTGGTCAGGCTGGTCTTGAACTCCTGACCTCAGGTGATCTACCTGCCTCGGCCTCCAAAGTGCTAGAATTACAGGCGTGAGCCACTGCACCCAGCCGCCTTTTGTGTGTTAAACTGGGAAGACCTTGGTTGGACTCATTTCCTGAGCATGAATGTGAATATGTGGCTGCTTTGTTGCTCAGATGGGAAGGAAAACAGGAAACAACATGCAGGGGGAGTGTTTTGTCTCTGAAGCTGCCTTGTCCTGAGCGCTTTATTTAGTCTGCACTTACACCACAGCACAGGACCTGGATTTGGAAAAGTGAGTGGTGGAAAAGCAGGTCTGAGGTTCTTGAGTAACTGTGGCCGTTGAGGAGAGGAGCTGCTCAGTACCAGTCAGTCTGGGCTCCACTGGCTGCAGAAATCACTTTCTAGATGGTCTTAGGTTAGCTTCCTGATCAGAAGTGATCTCTCTGGAATCTGCCCTAAGAAACCTCTAGATATTAAACTTGCATCAAATAACTCTTTTAATGAGGCAGAAGAGTTAAGAGTTTCAGCTTTGTAGAAAGTTATGCTTTTATGGAAGAATTTGCATCGTAAAGACTTTTTTTTTTGTTTCAAACACGCCACAAGACCTATAATATCTATCTAAGAGACTTGAACACTCTGAACTTATTAGGTAGGTAATATCTGACTCAGATGAAACAGCGTTCATAATCTTTTTGTGCCATGAGACTTCTCGACAGCCTTTTGAAACCCACAGACCTTTTCTCAGAATTAACATGTTTTAATTCATAAAATACAGTACACAAGATGACAAAGGAAAATAATTATGTAGAAATAGTTATCAAAATGCTTGTAAAGCAAATGGGTTTTGTAGTAATATTATGCTGCTTTATTAATGCACTGGTAATAAGATAGTGGCAGGCTTAACAACTACTGTACTTTCTGAATAGTAATGAGTATATATGATATTTCAGGATACCTGCAACAACTATAATGTGATGGGAAAATATCTGTGATTTCTATTTGGGGTAGTCCCAGGCACAGGTAGTCCCATACTGCTTTGTTCCTTACTTTCACAGTGGGAAGAGATGCTATATTTCAGGTACAGATTAATAAAAATAAAGATGGAGTTTTTTTTCCCATCCAAGTTCACAGACTGTCTAAATTCTCTTTGTGGTCCTGGGCTAAGAACGGCCGCACTAGGGTCATGATTCTTCTCATCTTGTCCACACCTGCCCTGTTCATAGCTGGCTGCTTATATATGCTTATCACATCGTTATGATAAATGGCGCGGAGTGAAGCCGTGCTGACCATGTGGCAGTGAGCCTCCTCCTCCCCCTCTCCTCCCCGTCGTAGGAGTGGTCCGGTTACTGCAAACTTTGTGTCTGATTTATGGATTTAGTTATATTCAGGGGCAGGGAGCCTGCCCCACCACAGGCTTTGTCTGAGGTCCCTGCTTTCATTACAAATACTTAGAACTGGTTCTTTTTTTCCCTTTAGCCTACTCCATCCTGTCTCCCAGCAGTTAACTCCCAAATCCAGAATGTGTGGGACCTATGGTTAGTGATGTGACAAGACATTGAGCCTCTTGCACAGAGAAAATTACAAAGTGAACTACACAGCTGAAGAGGCATCCCTGCCAATATTTTCTGAACCTGAGACTCTGTTTTCTCCATCCACACAGTCCACAGCTGCTTGTTAAGTACTTCTTCACTGACCCGACTCCCTCCCGAGTCGTCTTTTACTTCCAGTAGCTGAAGTCCTGGCAGAGGTGACTCCAGCAGGATTCCAGGGTTTCTGGCCACAAGCTTTGACTGTAGAACGGTTCAAACTGCACATCCTGGCCCAGGGTAGCAGTTTCCATACTTAGTCCTCTCAAATGATACCCTCAGGTTACTTTTGGCCCGTTTAAAGAGGGGAGGGAGAGAAAGAATTAGAAGAGGTGGAAGGTGAAATTGGACTTTTAAATTCCCTTTTGTAATACTGTGCCCACCTCATTTTCTGTCTCCTGTCTGGATGGATCTTGAACTTGACTTGAAATATTTGTTTGAGGTATTGTCAGGCTTTGGACACATTCATATGAAAGTAATTTACGCTGAAGAGCATGGGCTTTGGAGTTGGGTCTTTTCTGAATTGAGTCCCTGAGCTTCCTGGGGCCAGAGCCATTCAGTTGATGCCAGCGACTTGCTTGAATCCCCTGGGAAGTGCCTGGTACTTGTCATCTAAGTAATCGTTCCCCAGGCATTTCACAAGTTGATGTTTTTCTACTCTGATTACAGATGCTCTTTTAGAATCTTCTGAATAGAATAAAACGTTTCCACCGGAAAGCTTTGACAGGGGAATGCTGAAACTGGATCTGCCTTGAGTTTGTGACACCAAGTACTCCAGTACTTCATCCAGATATAGTCTACTTTTAATTATCCACATTAATGAGAAAGGACAGTAATGCAGATAGTCCAAAAAGTATTATATTTTCATTTTCTAATATGTTTTATGATTGGCTTTTAGGTGGGTATGTCTAAGAAATAAATGACGCTCTCAGTACCTTACATTTTGAAGACTTGACTCAAGGAAAATTGTCTAGTTTCATTTTCCTGGCCCTTCTGTTTAGGACTTTTCCCTTTTATCCCGAAGACAGTTTTACCCTCACTCTGCCACCCTATTCCCTAGCCCCCAACTAACAATATGTACCAGTCACAACTAAGCCTTCCTCTTCTATAAAACCACCTAAGTTTTATCATGCACATGGAGAAAGTATAATTTTAGTTTTGCAGTCTTCCGTAGACTGCTTATCAAAGGAAAGCAGAGCAGTGAAGAGGAGTTCCTAAAGGCAGGTAGCCTGGATTTGGATTCCAGCTCTGCCACCTACCAGCTGTGTGACCTTGGGCAAGTTACTTAACTTCTCTGTGCTTCAGTTTCCTCATCAGTAAAACAAGGATAATAGTACCTACCTCTTAGGGTTGTTTTGAGGATTATAATACCGAAAGCACTCAGAACACTGCCTGGCATATATAGCAGGTGTGTATAAATGTTTGCAGCTCTTGTTGTTTTTATAAAATAAAAAGAAATGTAGTGTGTTTTGTTAATTTATTCATGAAGTATTTCTCAAGCATTTACAACCGTACAAAGCCTTCTCACTTTCATGCCATAAATAAGAACTTAAAAGGAGATGCTCTGAAGAAGGTGGAGGATAGAAGGGGGAGACCAGCTGGATTACCTAGATGTATTTGTTTTTCATTTTCAAGTTCTGCGAGCAGCCGTGCCCAAGAACGTGTCTGTGGCTGAAGGAAAGGAGCTGGACCTGACCTGCAACATCACAACAGACCGAGTGGATGACGTCCGGCCTGAGGTGACGTGGTCCTTCAGCAGGACTCCGGACAGCACCCTGCCTGGCTCCCGCGTGTTGGCGCGGCTTGACCGTGATTCCCTGGTGCACAGCTCACCTCACATTGCGTTGAGTCACGTGGACGCACGCTCCTACCATTTACTGGTTCGGGATGTTAGCAAAGAAAACTCCGGCTACTATTTCTGCCACGTGTCCCTGTGGGCACCCGGACACAACAGGAGCTGGCACAAAGTGGCGGAGGCCGTGTCTTCCCCAGCCACTGTGGGTGTGACCTGGCTAGGTGAGTGGTTTGGAGAATGACTCTTAACCTTTCCAGCTTAACCCCTCCTCAGTTATCTGAAGGAGTTACCTCCGGAGGCTCCGTGCTTTGCGTTATTTTGACGTTATTTCGGTTGGTTCATGCGTACTTTGGCCCAGATAGATCCCAAACTCGGGGTGAAAGCAAAACTGGCTGAAATAGAATCTGGTTGGGAAGGGAAATGTTTAGATAATGTGGCCTCAGTTGTCTCAATACCCTCATTTGAGAGTCTATAGTTCCCTTTTGCTGTCGACATTTGCAGGGTCAGGGCACTGCTGAGTGGCTCTTTGAAATGAATCTGTGCTGGAGGGAGAAGGCTGCCTTCTTGTTTGTTTCCCTTAGACTCCTAGGTGCTCCCTGGCAGGAGCTGGCACTTTTCCAAAGCCCAGTGCAGAAAGAGAATTCCTTCAGTCATTGGAAAGCGGTTTTTTGTTGTTTTTTTTTTTTCCATGTCATACCCTGGAATCCCACAATATGTTTGCATATACCAGTTACAAGTCAAGCGCCTGCCTGCTTCTTTTTTTTTAATTTTTTTGAGACGGAGTTTCGCTGTTGTGACCCAGGCTGGAGTGCAATGGCGTGATCTCGGCTCACCGCAACCTCCGCCTCCTGGGTTCAGGCAATTCTCCTGCCTCAGCCTCCTGAGTAGCTGGGATTACAGGCACGAGCCACCATGCCCAGCTAATTTTTTATATTTTTATTAGAGACGGGGTTTCACCATGTTGACCAGGATGGTCTCGATCTCTTGACCTTGTGATCCACCCGCCTCGGCCTCCCAAAGTGCTGGAATTACAGGCTTGAGCCACCGCGCCCGGCTACGCCTGCCTGCTTCTGTACGCTCGTTCTGTGGATGCTCTCACCCGAGACATAATTTCCCCAGTGGAAGAGCAGAGTGGCTCTCAAATGTTGCCACCCGTTTTATAATGACCTACCATACATGTGTAGATCTTGGACATGTCCTCTTGTTTTATACTAAGCTCCTCTTCCCCTATCTCTTGTTTCCTAAAATGTTTGCCCTCTGGACAAAATTGACACTAACTTTTCCTAATTTTTGTGATGTCTTCTAATTGCAAGTAATCATAGGAGGGATGGATTCAAGCTGGGTGTGGAAAGCTTTGCTCCCCACCCCCATTATTACAGAGATGGAACAGGCCTACCAGTCAGATTCTTCTCTGTTTTGGCCTCTCTACCGTCCAGGAATGCCTGAGCCCTGATGAAGGCGTTTGGCATTGCTCTGATGATTAGCAGGCAAAACAGATCTTTAAAGGCCAGGAAATCATTTCCTCCTTTGTCTGATTCTTCTGCTGTGACCTCCAACTCATATACTTATCTCTTCCTTAGCTCTGATGGAAGTCTTCTCTCGGGTTAGTGGCATAGTCACTGTCTTCTTTTTCCTAAGAAGGCTTTATTTGGCAAAGATGGGGAGTTGGCTGGTGGAGACAGAGGGGGCAGGGAAAAGAAAAGCAATGAGAGTAAGCAGAAGGGACAATCCAGTTCTGATGGAGACGAGGCAGGGTGTTCATCAGCCCTGTTAGCAAAGTGATCCTTTGATATCTGAAAAGTAAAAGAAGCGGGGTTTATCCGGCGAGCTTTTATTCCTGCTGTCTGAACCCCGTGCTGGAGAGTCACTATGAAGTACTGAACTGGAACAATGCTGGCCCAGCTAGAACTCTCCTTAGCAACCTTCAAAATAAAACAGATGTTGTCAGCACCAAAAGAAGATTTTTCATCTCTGGAGCTGAATTTGTCTCACAGCTCTGATCCTTGGTGTATTGTGTGGTGCTGTCAAATCCCAGCACTGGCTCGCCGTACCCGCTGCCCCTTCAACTTCTGAATCCCCAGCTCGAGGACTTTTTTTTTTTTTTTTTTTTTTTTACTGAAAGTGCTGCTTGCACTCCAATTTGAGGGCTTCTTTGAAGTACTTGTGCATTGATCCCGGCATACCCGGGGGGAGATGCAGGGACTGTCAGACAACGGGAGGAGAGCTCTGGGAGGAACGGGTTCCTTTAACTGGAAGGGATTTGTTGGTAGACATGTTCTCCAGAGAGTGAAAAGAAATAAAGAGACTAAATTGTGGAAAAGGCTCAGTTATTATCCTAAGGATCCTGTCGTTTGTTTTCCTGTGGAGTGCCACTACCACTGTGAAAGTCATCAGTGTGCTTTCACTGACCGATGCTAACAGATACAGAGCCTGCACCCTCCCTGGTGCTTTGCACGTAATAAGCACTCAATAAATATTAGCTGAATGGGTAAATAAACCAGTACCAACACATGGATTATGTTAAAATAGATGCATAGGAAAACTAGAATTGCTAAGAAAGCAGTGATGTTCAACTCCTAGGATATTCAGAGATACTTGCCCCTGAGTAAACCTAATGAAAGTGTGAGCGTTATGAAAAATGATTGTATTCTTTTTCTTCCTCTTAAATCTTCTCCTCCTTCCCTGTGTCCGTGACTCAGACCATTACAGCAGCTTGGACACTTGTCAGGAGCGGGTAGAGTATGAGCACGGCAGCAGACCCTGCCTTCTCAAAGACTTACCCGCCGGACTCTGTCCGGAAGCCAGTGATCCCGGCCGGACATTCCATGCTTGTCTCTAGATATGTAACGTGCATGTACACAGGTGTGGATACCATACCACATACAACTTGAGACCAATATCAGGTAACTGAGAAGTGGCCGAAAAGGATAGACGGACAACCTGCCAAGCACTCTGTTTATATAGGTGATCTTAGGTCGTGTAACTCTAGAATGTTGTCACAGAAAAGTTCTCGAGACAGCTGGCTCTCTACACAGGTAAGATGCAAAACTCAGTTTTGCCACTTGACAGATTAAAGTGAATAGTTACCATTTATTGAGCATCTACTGTGTGCCAGACACTGGGCTAAGGACTTTATATGCATTAAATGTTCAGTGTGAAAATATTTTTGGCCTTGAGACTCAGCTTCATTCCTGAAACTCCAGAGCATAGCCCTGGATAGTCCTTGCCTTCATTTGCTTGGGGCTGGTTACTGAGCCAGGTGAAGGGTTTGAAACTGGTTGGAGTCTTCTAGAGTTCCACTGTGTTAAGCAGGAAGACAGGGCAGTGACATCAATGGGTCCGGCAAGTCCAGAGCACTTACAGCTATTGAGAGGATCATGATAATTTTTTAGAGGATGAGAAAAAAACCTCTTTTACCTAGAAATTATGTCCTACTTTGAAAGGGAAAGAAAAAAGATTTAAATTGGCTTGCAAAATGAAGTACGTTTTAAAGCAGGAGACGTAAAAATAAAATCAAGATCAAAAGGGTAAAAGAATAGATATTGCAAGGTGGTTGGCATGAATTAGTTATTATATTTGAGCACTGAATTTGCCTCTGAAGTTCTGAAGAGTCGAGACAAAAAAAGGATACGATTATACAGTTCTCTTCTGAGGAAGGAAAACATAAACGCTTTCAAAGAGACAAACTTTCTCTTGGCACTGAATTTATCATGTGCTTTTTCGTTTCGGGGCATTGGAAAACATGATGGACAGTGCTTTCAACTGCTCTTCTACAAAAGGCCCTAAATGATTGTTTAAATGGATGTTCCTTATATCCACCCTCTATAAAAGCCGTGGACGTAAATCTTAAGTGTGTGAAGGAGTTTCTGTAAGAAGCTGAATTACTATCGGGGACAAATGATGCTTTGTGTTGATCCAATTTAGTATATGTCTAAAACAGAGAACCTAGCAGAATGGCTAGTTAATCTGCACATTAAGCCATCTCCTTCTGCTATCAGATGTCTTAAATGAGCCTTTGGCAAGAGTTGGATACTAATCAGTTCGAGCTCTCTGCCCAAAGTACCAGACTTCCGTGGTGTTAACTGGAAAGAGTTTCATGGGCTTTGGATGTTAAGAGCTGGAGGAGGGAGAGCTGAGTTCTGCTGTTCAGTCTTCAGAACCTGATTTGCATTCTTCCCCACTAAAGGACTGGCCCCTCTTCCAGCAGTGTGCCAGCAAGGAAGGTAATTATTTTCTTTAAAAGGAGCTGTTAAGCTGCTCAGTACTTGGTAGAAACCTTAGAGTTCTGGGCCATTTATAGGAGATAAGATTTAGACCTGTAGGTTTTTCAAGGATAACTGTTATCAGCTGTCTGTCCAGGATTATTCTGGAAGGCAGAGGAGCACACGGCCAAGTGTTGGAAATGCTGATCTCAAACTCCTGCCCTCAGGTGATCCATCCACCTCTGCCTCCCAGAATGCTGGGATTATGGGTGTGAGCCACTGCGCCCAGCCCTTCACAGGTATTTCTTCGGGTGCAGGGCATAGATATTGCATGCAAATGATGTTATTTTTATTGCTCTGAAATGGCTAGTGCTCCATACATCCTCATAATGGTTCTGCAACAGCAAGGTAAGGAGTCCCCCCTCCCAACAACAATAGCTCCTTATTCGTAGCCTTGACTGGTTAAATGTTGGTGAATACTTAATTGTTATGCAAATAATGATCGTGGCATCACTTTGACAATCGGTCAATATGCTCAACTGCCTCTGAAGTACCTACCCAATTCAAAATAGTAAAACCTGGCTGGGCGCGGTGGCTCAAGCCTGTAATCCCAGCACTTTGGGAGGCCGAGGCGGGTGGATCACGAGGTCAAGAGATCCAGACCATCCTGGTCAACATGGTGAAACCCCGTCTCTACTAAAACTACAAAAAATTACCTGGGCATGGTGGCGCGTGCCTGTAATCCCAGCTACTCAGGAGTCTGGGGCAGGAGAATTGTCTGAACCCAGGAGGCGTAGGTTGCGGTGAGCTGAGATCGCGCCATTGCACTCCAGCCTGGGTAACAAGAGCGAAACTCCATCTCAAAACAAACAAACAAACAAACAAACAAAACAAAATAGTAAAACCTGACATCAGCAGAGGCTGAGCACTCCTTCTGTTTCTTCTAACTGGTGCATGCAACCATTCATGTAATTAGCTCTGCCAAGTTAACCAAGTTTCAGAGGGGGTATTAGAACACG